TCTGATAAGAAATGCTGATTTTTGGTATAGTATGGTTAATAATTGGTGCCATTATGTAAATGACTAAAAAAATTGAATACAAAAGAACTGCAAGAATATGTAGAGTATTTTTCAATAAATGACAACTTTGTGAATTTGGCGAATTAAATTATGATATCCTTTTGTTAAACTATTGAGGTAATTGGGGCAATTTCAAGGTCATACGTTAGGCATTGCATCAAGTTTAGGTATATAAAATGAGCTAAGATTTTAAAAAGTAGGAGCAGTTTTTAAAGCAGAAGTGTTTAAAGCAGTAAATTTCGTATAGGTTTTTAGGATGTATTTTTGACAGAAGTTACCTTTTGTAATCTTAAGAGTTGTAGACGAAAGACTCTTAAAGAAGTTTTGCAATAGAAATTTTAAAGAAATTGTATCCTAAGTGGAAGGTCTGGCTGACAAAAAAAATAAATAACACAAATTTAAAAAGATAATTATAATGTGTACCCATTTGAAAATAACAATTCCGGAAACATAATAAAAATTCAACTGGAAACAATCGGTGGATACCACTTTGAAAATAAAAATTTTGTAAACATAATATAAATTATTATATCATTATTATATCAGCAATAGATCATAGTACAATGTTTATCCAATAAGTATCGAAAATGTAATGTGTTAAGTAATGGGGCGACTATAATCTTAAACTAATGAAACTTAAGAATAAAAAACACCGTCACAAGAGACCAAGGATATTGCAGGAATTTTCAACAAAGTACAAATAAAATGTGACCCTAGACAATAACGTAAACCAACAATGAAGGCCAACAAAGCTTATTGTACCGAATCATATAGTTTTGCCACCTGTTAATTATAAGCGTTTTTATAATTGGTGTTGTTTGTCACAAATTTTCCCCTCTATAAATTTGTTGTGGTTTCCTTAAAAGAATCACTTGTGTGTATGGACACTTTGGTGTCTGCTCCCACACCAGCTTCCTCAACTACATCAGAGAAGAGCATGGGTATGCGCTATCTTTTCGATGAATACACCCTAAGTGAAGATGTGGACACCACAAATTAACCTGCATCACAGCAGGGCTGCATTCCCCAGCCTGCTGCAACGCCTCAGCAACAATGAGGTTGAGATGGTCCTGATACAAGAACCATGAATTTATAAGTATCTTGTATGCGGCATCAGGACAAATAACTACAACTTATTATATGCGGTAAATAAGGGTAAGCCTAGGTCCTGCTTATTGATTAATAAAAAATTTAATGCGCTTTTATTTTCGCAATAGTAAGTATTGAGGGCTCCTAGGACCAAATATGGGCAGTATCTGCATATTTGGTACACGATCACGCTGCACTATCATCGAATATCCTGATACGGTTAACAAGCGGCACCAGGTGACTTGTAGAGGAGCTTATGTTGCCATACCAAATACCCATGTGCACTTTACAACATCGCTAGCACAACAAATACTCGTTACTATAAATATGATAGCAGAGTAGTATACATACAGGCAGTGTAAAATAAAACCTAGCAACAGTAAGAAGCCGAAGAATATATAGTAACAATATATATAATAAATTCCAACAGCTTATTATAGGCTGCGATGCCAATGCTCACTATGAGGTTTGGGGCAGCTCAAATACAAACAAAAGAGGTGAGTTACTTTTTGATTTTATTTTTAGTACCAATCTTTTTATTTGTAATGATGGCAAACTTTTATTATTAAAAACAGGCAGGAGGTATTAGATGTCACTTTTGCTACTGCCAAGCTTCATAAATCGGTTAATAAATGGAAAGTGTCCACTCAGCACTCTATCTTAGATCACATGATTCTAGAATTTATATTAACCCTAGATGAATCGAGCATCTACAACCAGAGAACGTTCAGACATGTGAGAAATACAAACTGGACGAAATATAAAGCAGCGTTAAGTGAGCTGTTGTCAAGACTTTCCTCCGATCCCCCACGGAACACTGTTGATCTGGACAATCAAATTCAAGATCTCACCTCAGTGCTCAATAAAGCTTTTAATTATATCCACCCCTTACTCACATAGGAAAAAAATTGATTATAATTTTCGATTCCTTTTTTTTAATTACTTGTAAACTAGTGTTATAAGAAAGTAAAGTAAAATAACATATAAAATATAAAGTAAATATAAATAGAAAAATAAAAACAATACATTTTTGAATAGTTTTGAAAAAAAATACTTGTGTGAATTGATTTTACTTACTGTACTTTTTTCTACTTTCATCATATCATAAATGTCAATTAATGTAATTTAATTAAATTGTTTTAAAATATGTTTTTAAAACGAATACCAAATTTATCTTGCAATACATAACAAACTTTAGATATGCAATATATCAAATATAAATGCGATATTGTGGATTTGTACTTTATACTTTTGAAGCTTTCTTTATTGTCGAAGTACCGTAAAGTCACTGTTCATTGTTATAAGAAAGTTCATTGCTTATAAAACCAAACACTCCTTTATTCCATTCGAACGGCATGGTTATGCAGCACATGATTTCTTACGTTTTTGCTGTTGTTCATTTTCTAACAAAATTTATACTATTTTCAATATTATTCCTATGTGCTTACCGCCAAAACATAACTTTTTTAAATTACTCGGCACTAAGTTATATATATCAAAATCGAAATAGATATAATCACTAGGATGTTTCGAAAAATAAAATTTTTTTTTCGAAACGCTATAGTGCGCAAAAGTTGCCTCTAGTATAGAATAAAAAACTGTAAAAAAATAAAAATTATCAGTCGATATCTTCCGCTCGCGCATCGACTCCGAAAATTGGCAAAACTGATTAAATCGATCATTTTTAAAAAAAAATTTCAATTATTAATATACATACAATTAATACAGTTTAACTTTTCTTATTCAGTTTAAAGTCCAAAATATTAAAAAAAAATAATAAGCCACTGATAAAATAATATTAACCTGTCGCCCAATATCATCGCAAAATTGATAAAACGCGTAATTTTCGCGCCTTTATTTAAAAGTGACGACAGTTGCAAATTGTAACTGAACATAAATGCATTGCACAATAGTCTATTACCGTAATATATTGTTCAAACTACCAGAAATTGTACAGCATTGGAATTTTTTATTTATATAATTTAATTTTTAGTTTTTTTACCTAATTTACCCAAAGGTTAAAATATTTTTTGGGTAGACATGAAAATATTTCTATATCAATATTTTTGCTTGAACTATACTGAATATTATTTATATTCAATATAATATAATATAATATTTGAATTTTATTTAAATAGTATTTATTACTAATATCCAAAAATTTTAAATCAATGGCGACTATGAACAAATAACAATTCATAACTATGTATCTTGTACATATGGCCGAGACAATATTATATTATGAATACACCTCGGTAGATACTATCCTTAGAAAAGCGTATAAAATAAATCGTACCAAAAAATACATATGAGGTATGTTAATTTGGGGATATGTTCCATAACTTTAAAAAATCGTGTAAGACAAAAACATTCGGAATATTTTACCATAAAATCGTGTAAAAAATTTTAAAAAATAAATCGAAAAAAAAAATTCATTCACAATCCACAACTCTTAAAGCTTGTGGATTAAGAGGTTTATTTATTAACAGAGGCTTTAATATTTTATCACCAGAAGCGTTACTTCAAAGCAAAAACGTTACCCGCTCATTGGCTGCTTTAAAACCATCAACAGATTTTTCAGGTTTTGCTATATACGTTCTGTCCGGCATTTTCTTCAAAATAACCCCGTTTCATCGGCATTAAATATTTGATCTGGATCGGTACCATCATTTTTAATTATTTTTGCTGATTTATTCGGAAAGCTTTTTGCAGCATTTTCGTCTGTTGATTCAATTTCTCCCTTAATTTTTATATTGTGAAATGCGTGTCTTTTTAAAAAACCTGTTAGCCAATCCCTCTTGCATTAATTGGCTGTATATTCTTAGTGCTTCTTCTTTTATAATTCTACCATTAACAGGTATTTTTTTTTACCAGTAATAAAGTTTTAATAGAAATTCATGCAAGATCAAAAAGAAGTGTATTTGGCCTTAATTGTGAAACGTGTTATTTCAAAAGAGTTGTAAAAAGTTGTATATATGGTATTATTCGTTTTAATCGAATATATTTTGGTTTGTTTTTGCCAACATTTAAGTTAGCAATCTCTGCTAACAGAAATGTAAGCGTTTGTACTGCATTACGACTAAAGATAACTTCACATACATAAAAAATATTATGATTTATATAGTTTTTTAATAAGGAGGTTTTTTCGAACCGTAGTGAACTACAACAACAAAAATTTTATTTTTTTTTTTATATATTATTTTAATTAATTGTATTTTTGGCTGACCATACAGCTGTTTCGAGTATTGCCAAATACCCATCATGAGTGGTCTTGGAAATAATTATTGTATTTAATTATTCGTAAAAAATTATTTTTGAGAATGCAAGTACCAGGATTCGAACTCGGGTCCTGCCAAATGTGAAGCTCATAATCAGCGCACCTTAACCAACTGATCCAAAGCCATGCTTGATTTTTTTTGTTCGCATATTTTTCTGGACTTTTGTTAATTTTGCTATGAAAGTTTTTATTAACAATTTTACTTGCTGTGTTTATATTGGAACGAAATCATAAATCAGCTGTAGAAGAATTGAATTAATTAATTAATTATATTTTTATTTTTAATTGTTAAATTTCAATACTATTCTGTTCGTAGAGGCATTATTTGTTGCCTGATTTATTCTTTCTTATGTATAGAACCTAATCTTGGAACGTAATGCTGAGAAAGTCATGCTAATGTTACTCCACTAATCGTGAATATAAGTTGTAATTTAACGTCAATAGTTAGTTTTTTAATAAAATTTATAATCAAATGCAAATAACAAAGGTGATTAAACAAACGAGAGTATGAAAAAGTTAGTTTAAAATTTTATTATATTTTGTAATATCAGTAAATATTAGATGGCAAGATAAATATATTTAAAACTACCACATTTATTAAGATTTATGTACATTTTTTAGGAAGAAATATATCAAATCGCAATAAAATGTGAGTGTAAAATTTTATAATCGTGACCATATAAGAGATGAATTTAAATTTTAATTACTTAGATGTAAAATCTGTTGGATCAATAACTTCCGGCTCAGAAATTTGTCTCGCCAAGGATTTCGTGACCTGTTTGACACTATCATGATTTTGTCCTAAAAGAAAGAATTTGTATACTTATATATTGTAGTACATACGTATAAATTAAAACAAACACATTACCTCGAATTTGTTTCTTGTGTGAAGGTAAAGTATTAGATTTATTAGCTTGATCGCTTAATCGAAATGCTTCCAGAAATTCGTTGAGATCAATAAAGCCATCTTTGTTAAGATCCATCATTTTAAATTTGTCAAACATATTACCGAAAGCACTAGAATTCTGTATATGTTTTTGTAATAAAGTACATGTCTCTTTAAATTCATCAATGGATATGACCCCTAAATTAAGTGAATAATTTGAATTAATTCAGGTAACATTGTATACTTTAATTTTAATAATTTATACCATTGCTATCTTTATCTAAAATGCTAAATATTGCAACTAAACTGCTTTTGTTTCGATAAAGTGACTCAGCAACACTTGTTTCCTCTTTCTGTGTCTCTATCTGAAAAATAATGGTAAAAATTATTTATAAGTTTATACTAAATTTAACATAGTTTTATCATTACTATTATATCCGAGTCTAAAATTTCTAAAGTTACGAGATAGTTTACATCATTTGGCGGGGATCCCTCTGGCATGGGTGCTAGTTTATCACGTAATAAACGCCACGGAAGAGTTAAATTAGTTTCTTTTTCCATTATATAACACCACTTTGTAATACTAATAATTCCTATTGATAAACATTTATAAACTTCAATTAGTATTTCATATATATGCGAGTAATATTTATTTTCATATAATGTTATTAAATACAGAAAAATACCAGTGTGTTTTGGGTCATGTTTTCTAAATTCAGCTTCCAATAGTGTACGTTTATCACGTATACGAGCCCCTAACGCTCTTATCGCAGAGCTTTCGATAAAACTAACTCTCTGGCGAATTGTTAATGCAGAAGTTTTTGAAGCAGCTGATATGTATTGCACAAAGTGGGGCTGCAAATTTGTACCTATTTGGAGATAAGCACCTTTGTTTGACCCTATTGCATAGTAATTTGAGGCAGAAAAAATTGTAATAACCTTTACAAAAAAGTTTCAATCATTACATTAATTAGAATACATTAAAACATAATTTTGAATCTTTAAACTTTCATTACCTTGTTGTTATGGGTAAATTCGTGCCCATCGGGCTTACATTCGTGTGATCGAACGAGGTATTTAAAATTATTATCACTTAAAAATTGTTCGGTAATATTAGGTCCAAAGTATGTGCCAGCTCCACGCAATGTATTTGGAATGCAGCCATTACTATGCTGTGGATCGCTCCACATGATATCAAAGACCTTAAAAAAGTTTAAAAAAATTAATATTTTGGATTACATGGAAATTTTGAATATTTTCTTAAACATTTATCTTTTTTGAATTCTAAATATGTATATATTTTGAGGTGGACATAAAAACTTTAACTAAAATATTTATATAAATAACAAGCAAATCGAATTCGAATTCTTCGATCGATGTTGTTGAAATATTAAGTATACTGTTGTCTAGAACCGTGGTTTTATTAAAATGTCTATTAGTATTGTTATTCAAATAATTTATACAATGTACAATTTAGTTGAATAAGGAATTTATATTAAAAGAATACATGAAATCTTAAAAAGTAAATAATATTAATATACTCCCTTGTACAACCCGGCCCTTGCCTCTTGTTTTAGTGGCACTAGGCTCTTCAACTGGCTGACTAGTAGCCCAGTCAGCCCTATTCTAAGTGTGGTAGCTCCTTCGGTTCCGACTCATGTCAATAGTATCATTGACTTTTTTTAGCGGATAATTGCCAGAGCTACTCGTGCCTGTCCTCGCACATTTTTTAACTTTTCCAGCTGGTCGGAGTTTAACCTTACTCTTGATCAGCCCCTTATTGATTTGAGCATTCCCGAACACAGAAACATGACTCTTGCGGAGATCGATTTTGCTGCCCTTACCCTTGAAAGCATCTTCGCCTCCGTAATTGATGAGCATGTTCCGAAGGTGCGTGTTCGCAAATTTTATCAAGTTCACTTGATGCTACTACCCTTCACCTCATTAAACTGAGGAAATCGGTCCGCCGCAGATCTTATCGCCTTAGACAGGTTGCTTCCACGCAAGCTCATGCGTTTCAAGCCATCCTTAAGAACCTTGACACCATAATTGTCCAGAGGGTCAACCAAACCAGGTTCAATTCCATGCCAAACTTCGTGCCACTCAGTGCCGGTCTGACGTCTTTAGTACGATCAGGCAAATCTGTGGATCAAATAGGTCCATCTCTGACTTCTGCTATGGCACCACCATAGCGTATGATGACCTTGATAAAGCCAACGTCTTTGGTGAAGTCTTTGTGACTAATCACCGTCTTACGGTTGGCCTAGGCGAGCGCCACTTTACGTCGACTATGAATTCTGTAGTGCATGGGCTTTTTGTTGCTTTCAATGAAAGCATTGATACTTTCTCCCCGCAGTTTCCCGCTCACTGAATCAATGTTGAAGACACTCAAGGGTTTCTCACCCATTTCGATCTTATTGACATGCTTCGGCTTAAAGCCCCTTAAAAGTCATCTGGCACTGACTGTGTGTCTTTCTACGTCATGAGGCGTGTCTCACCATTCTTTTTTAAAAAGTGCGCCATGCTCTTCAACCATGCGTACAATACTGGTTCCTTCCCCCAGCCATGGAGGAAGGCCATAGTATGTCCCATTGCCAAGAGTGGCAAACCTAAAGCTGACCTCTTCAGCTATCGTCCCATTTCTCTCCTCAACTCTGTCAGTAAGCTTTATGAGACTTTCATAGCAAGCAAGCTGAAGTCCTTCTCCTCAAGGAATAATATTATTACTTCTTATCAGTTTGGCTTTAGGAGCCAAACCTCCACTCTTCATGCCCTGCATCATCTCCAAAATGAGATATGCACAGGTTTTTTCAATAAGTAGCCTACTGTGGCACTAAGTCCCGACATTGAAAAAGCCTTTGATACTGTCTGGTTTGCAGGTTTAATTTTAAAGCTTCATCAGTTCGGTTTCTCCCCTACGCTCTGCAGTGTGGTCCACAAATTTCTGTCCAACAGAATCTTTCAGGTTCGAGTCGGTTCCTCTCTGTCCTGTGATTTCTCCATCGACGCCGGTGTCCCTTAAGGCTCGGTTCTGGGACCTCTCCTTTTTAACCTGTTTTTAGCAGACATTCCTCTCCCGCGGGCCCCTGTTAAGCAAATCTGCTTCGCCGATAACTGCCTTGTCTTCATGCGGTCATCTAATCCTCACCGCCTTTCCAATGAGCTTAATGCCTACCTTTGATCCCTCTTCGACTATTACACCAGGTGGAAGATTAAACTCAACCCCTATAAGATCTCTGCCATTACCTTACTTGGCCAGCAGCAAGATCGTCCTAGAGGTTTTAGCACCTCTAATATTAAGCTTAAGCTTAACAACTCTCCAATTCAGCTTGTCCCCAAGCTGAAATATCTTGGTATTGTCTTCTCATCTCAACACATTTTTATATCACATGTTGACTATGCCATCCGTAACGCCCGGTTCAGGCACACTCAACTCAAAACTGCACTTCGAAGACACAACCAACTTAATTGCAAACTTAAGTTACTCTGCTATAAGCAGCTTATTCGTCCTCTCCTCATATATACCATCCCTATTTGGTCTGCCATCACTTCTGCTCAGATGTTGCCTGTTTGAGCGGTAACTTCTCCGTGATTGCACCAACTATAAGCGCAAGCCTTATAATGGCAAGCACTTCTCTATCTCCACTCTGTATGACAATGCCAAGATTACTCGTATTGATGAGTACCTTTTGACACTCGCACGTAGGTATCTCACCCAGCTCCACGACCTCCTTCCTGATGTCTCTTGTCCAGATACCCTCCCAGTAGATCTTGTTCTAGCTTTACGATTTAAACCTCCACAGTACCTTCTCCACTATTTTGATGAGCTGGATCAAAATCCTCTCGCTAAAATCCTCTTTTTAACCGCGGCTTTCGTGACCCTGGTCACAAAGTATATCACTAGTCTCACCCCCGCTAACTAGCCGTAAACCCACCACCTTCATTATTATCCTTTCTTCTTCATTCATGCCCTTGCTTTCTGACTTAGATGAACCTAGTTCACTAGGTATTAAGTCTATCTACTTTCTCTCTCCCCTGATTACTGGAATGAAGTTCCCACATTGCTGTGGGAATCTTCTCCATTCATTCCTAAGAGGTGGTTTTAGTGGGTTCAAGTCTCACACTGTGGCTTTCAATGCTTTCCACCTACTGCAAAAAAAAAACCCGACCCACTGTTGTCGCTGTCCTTGCGCCTACCATCCTTGGTTCTCCGATTCTTGATGCACGTGATATGATGACGTGATATGAGGAAATTTGTATTTAATAAAATGTATTCCAAGTACCGTGACTTAAGACTGCCGTTGTACTAGATAATATAGCATATACACATGTATATAAAACATAAGGTATTTCTTTCAACATATTGTATAAAATATTCTTCCTTGTTCTATGACTTAGAACAGCTATTGTACTTGGAAATGTACAACGATTTTGAAATAATACATATTTTAGTATAACATACCTTCTAATATGTTTAATATCTAATTTCTCCAATTTCTTTGACTTGAAACAGCCATAGTATTTAGTAATATTTTTATATATTTTGCTTGTAATATTTTCTTTGTGCAGTATGATTTGAAACCACCCTTGTATTATGTTATTTATACTAAGCCTTGCTCGGCCGTAACACCGCCATGTCGAGTGTTAACATAAGATATCCTTCTGAAGAATACGCCGTCTTTTATACTCATCAGCTGAGCTTTTCGTGTAGCGCAGACACATTTGTTTTTGAGTTGTATTAAAGTATTTTTGTTTGCCTTTGTATTTATATATACGCGGTTAAGAATATTTTCTTTCATAGAATGTAAAGCAAACAAGGGGTATTTCATTTAATTAAATAAATGATAATTTCAATGTTATTTTTTTTTCTATGCTGATAGTGGTGTGCCTTTATAACGAAAGAAACTATTTAAAGCCGTTTAGGCTTCGAATAGCAAAGAAAGGACAAAGACAAAAATTTATTTAATTTATTGAAATTTGAATAGTATTGAAATCAAACAATTAAAAATAAAAATATAATTAATTAATTCAATTATTCTACAGCTGGTTTATGATTTCGTTCTAATATAAACGCAGCAAGTGTTAATAAAAACTTTCATAGCAAAATAACAAAACTCTGGAAAAATACGCGAACACAAAAATCAAGTACGACTTTGGGTCAGTTAGTTAAGGTGCTGCGGTGACTCTGAGCTTCAAATTTGACAGAACATGAGTTCGAACCTGGTATTGCAGTTTCAGAAAAAAAAAATTATTTACAAATGATCAAATACAAGAATTATTTCCAAGACCACTGATGATGGATATTTGGTAATACTCAAAACAGCTGTATGGTCTACCAAAAATTAAGTTAATTAAAATAATATAAAATGAGTTTTTGTTGTTGTAGTTCACTACTGTACTACTGTACCATCAACCAGCGTTGTGGAGGCATGTTATCTTCATGTATTAACACCAAGGCCAGATGGATTCGTTAAGACCATCTGTGCCAGTAGTGATATTTGACCACGGTAATACGATACCACTTATCAGCATTTTACATCACCTCATTGAGAATTTGTTTCAGGTAGCGTTTTAAGTGGATCACCGAAGAGAAAATGTTAGCGCTTCGTAATCGCTTGGGTCGCAGTATTGTGGTGTGATTGGTCGCATTAAAACGGTTTCAATTTCAATCAAAAACATCGTTTCAAGCTCCTAAAACATAAGTCGAGTGTTTGATAAAGATGTTCTTTCGCGTTTTTAACAGCCGTAATTGAACTTTACGAATTGATTGCTGTAAAATGTCTGCAGAATTGTTTGATTGAACTTGTCGAATAGAAACCTTTTTAGCTTTGCTAGTTTATTGTAACCAAAAACGAAGTTCGTTGCATTCTCACAGAAAATATCTGATGGTAAACCTCTTCTAACTGTTAACCTCCTTTTCAGTGCTGCAATGAATGCCTCCGTTGACAACACTGACACCGTTTTTACATGAACTGTCTTCGCAGATAAATAAACGAATAGAGCTATATAGGTTTATATCCGACTCGTCCACGGATCCGGATATACGTTAGAATGGGAACACAAAAATATATCGCGGTACGTGCGAATGGGTGACTTGGAGTCAAGCGTTCAATTAGGAGATTACTTATCATTTGGTCAAGTAATGTGGGTTTATATCGCACACAGTGAATGCACGACTGCACGACTCGAAAGTTAGTTATCCCAAAATTCAGTCGAGTGAAGGAAATTAATGCTTTTGCACCTGCATGATAATTGCACAAGTGTACATTCCGAACATTGAGGTCCACAACATAGCAGCCCTGAGGTAACAGAATCAGGTGACGTTGGTGTACTCAAAGCGAACTCCTGCCTTTAGCAATTGATAGCCGGACATTATTTTCCAGGAAGGGACTTAAAAACTTTAGTGTGCTTTCAGCTTTTCTGTTATTTTATTTTTAAATTTTTGGATTGAAACAATAAAAACAAATAAACAGAATACAATCATTAAAAATTGCATTTTTTTTTTTGCATTTTTTTGTTTCGTTTTGTCTTTGTTCCAACATAGCTTTTAAGTGTGGCATCATTGTTGCAATCTGTCATATGTTATATTTTTGCAAAGAGTCTAATCATGCATATGTGCATAAAATGCAACCAAATCACATTTTGTATAAAAATAGGTAATAAAGATAAAATTAAAAATTAAGATAAATACTGAACTCAAATCGATATTCAGAATGCAGGAAATTTTAAAATTTCCTTTTAGAACAGAATTGAAAATAGTATTGTTGTGAGAAACAACAAAGTAGGTGAAAATTGTCAGGTTTTTGATATTTGAAAATATTTTATTAAAATATTCCTTCAGATTATTTTTGTGTGTTAGTCAGTTTGCTTCTAGAGTTGTATGAAGAAAACAATAAAAGTTTTGTGTTGGTGACCCCGACACAAAAAAGGAGTTGTAAGTTTTTATCAAGCCCGACTAAGCAAGCAAGATGATTAACCGTGAGGAAGAAGATTTTTTTCCGGCAGAAGGAGAAAGCCGCACTGACAAGGAGGTATACCGGGTGTCAATAAAGTCGATGATATTTTCAAGAAAACATCCGGACCTTTTCTGCAAATGGAAGCGCAGTTCAGGAGTGCGGGAATAACGAGAGATGATGCAAAGTTCGACCATGTAGTAGCAGGTTTAGAGCCGAAATATCTGGAGTGCATAGCTGATGTGATTCGGGATCCACAGAAGGTGTTGAAATATGAGACGTTGGAGAAACGGTTAATAAATGAATTCACAGAATCGGAGCACAAAAGGCTGCGTAAGTTGCCGACAGAATTGCAGCTAGGTGACATGAAACCAATGCAATTGCTGAAGAAAATGAAGGAAATGGCTGGCAGTTCAATGAGTGATGACGTACTGACGTCATTGTGGTTACAGCGACTGCCAGTGGGAGTTAGAACAATTGTAGCTGCAGTCGAAGGTGATTCTGCACAGTGGGCCAAGGTGGCTGATAAGGTGTTTGAGGTACAGGAAACAGAAACGGTTTGTGTAGTGCAAAGGAATGAACCTAATGAGATGAAGAAAGAAATTGACAAGTTAAAAGTCGTGGTAAATAATTTGATCATTCAGTTGGGCAAAAGAGGAAGAAGCAATGACAGAGATCGTGGAAGAGGGCGATCATCAAGTGCTAAAAGAGCTAATATCTGTTTTTATCATCGACGGTTCAAGGGGAGGTCCACAAAAAACCCCGTACAAACCACCACAAAACTCAGCGGAAACTAAACACCACTTCACGTTTGACGGCGAGTGAAGTGGCAAAGGGTAAAGCATGCCGTCTGTTCTTCAAGGATAAAAAAACAGGTATAAATTATCTAATAGACACGGGCGCGGAAGTTTCAATTTTGCCAAAGAGAATGCAGCCTGAAAATGAAGCCACGCAATATTATTTATACGCAGCAAACGGGGCGAAAATTAGCACGTATGGAACGAAATTAGTGCAAGTCAATTTGGGGTTGCGCAGACAGTTCCTGTGGGAGTTCCAAGTGGAGAAGGTAAATCACCCAATAATAGGGATTAAATAATTTTTTTGAATAATTTGAATAAGAATTTGTGATGTCATTACAGGCCTCCAGATAATGGGTTCGAAGAAGGAGATACACTGCGTGAAACTAAGCACTAATGATGCAACTAGACCGGCACATAACATCCTGCGGGATCATAAAGAGATAACGGAACCGACTACTAGTAATAAGGCGGCCGTGAGGGTTACACTAGTAGAGCATTAAATTGTTATCAAGGGACAGCCAGTGTATGCAAAACCTCGGCGGTTAAACCCTGAAAAATTTGAAATTGCGAGAAAGGAATTTGAATTTATGACGAAACAAGGTATTTTTAGGCCAAATAACAGCAATTGGACAAGTCCGTCACATTTAGTGGCGAAAAAGGATGGTAAGTGGAGACCGTGTGGCAATTATAGAAAGCTTAATTCGATAACACTGCCACATCGGTATCCAATACCCCATATACATGATTTTACTCGCATATTGCAAAATAAGAAAATTTTCTCAACTTTTGACTTGGAAAAAGCCTACAATCAAATTCCGATTGCTGAAGAGGATCGACCTAAAGCGGCGATAATAACCCCATTCGGCTTATATAAATTTAACATGATGACTTTTGGTCTATGCAATGCTGCGCAGACTTTCCAAAGGTTTATGAATGATGTCCTAAAGAATCTGAATTATGTAATAACGTACATAGATGATATATGTATAGCATCAGCTGATGAAAAGGAACACGAAATACATTTAAGAGAAGTATTCAAGCGATTAAGCGACCATGGTCTGAAGATCAATCTGGGAAAGTGTGTGTTTTTTATGAAAGAAGTTATCTTCCTGGGACATGTGATAAATGGGACGAAATTAGACCCATAGCTGAAAAGGTGGAAGCGATTAGAAATTTTAAAAAACCAAAAGAAGCACGAGAGTTAAGAAGGTTCATCGCTTCAATAAATTTTTACAAGCGTTTCCTCGCGAATGCTGCGAAGAATCATGGCATCCTGCACGCACTATTAAAAGGAAAAAAGAAAAATGATAGATCTCCGATTGAGTGGACAGCAGAGGCCGAGAAAATATTTAAAGTGTGTAAGAACAATCTGGCGAATGCTGCAATGCTAGCACACCCGGCTCCGAATGCGAAACTGGTGCTAAATGTGGCCGCTAGCAATGTCGCAGTACGAGCAGTTCTGCAACAGCTTATAGATGGGCAGTTGCAACCGCTGGGATTCTATTCCAAAAGGCTGACAGAGACTCAAAAGAAATATAGTACTTATGACCGCGAGCTACTTGCTATATATATGGCGGTCAAGTATTTCAGCAAGTAAAAAGCAAGTATAAGACATAAGTTCTCGTTTTTGTTGGCCTAAAATGAAGGCCGAAATAAGTCAAATGGTGAAAACGTGCATGAAAACGTGTTGCAGGATTTCAACGCCCCTAATCAACGTTTTGAGCATGTACATATTGATATCGTGGGACCTTTGCCCTATTGCAATGATATCCGGTATTGCCTGACATGCATTGACCGGTTTTCAAGGTGGCCGGTGGTGGTACCATTGGCGGAGATTACGGCAGAATGTGTGGCTGAGGCTTTAATTAAGGATTGGATAGCGCATTATGGTGTGCCGAAAAGGATTACGACAGACCAGGGACGATAGTTTGAGTCCAAGCTAACTCTAACCATAAGGGCAAGAGGGCGCATGGTGAATGTCAGCATAGATCGAGTGAAACCAGTATATTTTGCGAATGAAGTTGGTGAAGGTTGTTTGCAAGATAATGTTAAGGTGTTAGGTGGTAACAGTAATAAACAAATAGCACCAAAGGCGACTCGAGTGGGTAGAGCGGTGCGTTTTCCATTGAGGTTTATGATGTAGTAATAATTGTACAATTCAGATAGAATTTGTCGCTATGTAGCCGTCAAATTCTAGAAGGGGCTGTGTCGTGAAAAACAACAAAGAAGGTGAAAATTGTCAGATTTTTGATATATGAAAATATTTTATTTAAATATCCATTCAGATTATTTTTGTGTGTTAGTCAGTTTGCTTCTAGAGTTGTATGAAGAAAACCATAAAAGTTTTGTGTTGCAATAAAATACTGTTTTTTAATTAAGAAAAACTATCTTGTTATTGCAAGCACAACAGTATAAATATTTTAATATTTATACTTGAATAAGTATTAATTTGTTAGCACAAGTTAAAAAATTTTGAAACGGGTTTCAATTATACTTTTTTTAAATACTCCTAAAAAATTTTGTATATATTTAAAATATTTATTTTCCACAATTTTGCATATTTTTAAAATATTTTATTTCCGCAATTTATGTTATTTAATTTTTTATTTTTTTTAAATAGAAAGAATTTTTTGACTGAAGTATTTGGTAAGATTTTTATCGACATAACACCACAGTTAATATTGAAAACACACAACTACAGAATGATACAACATTACAAGAAAAATAATTTAAAAAACGAGTTTGTTATTCTGGAACAATATGAATATATTAACAATAATTACCTGTAGCCATTCGCTATTGTTCATAACTTCAGCAGACGTGCGAGATCCCCTCTCATTTATAGGCGGACGCAGAATGGACACATACTAAAAATGTGAAATTTTGATTAATTATTAAAATTAAATACAATAATAATAAGATTAATAATCATAATTATAATACACTATGAATATAATCCATTTCCTGTGATTGCGAATAAGCTTGTACTATGACTAAAGTAAAAGTAAAATCTGATCACAAAATGTACACGAAACTAAATTAATTATGAAAAGCATTGAAATCATGAGAGGTATTATAGGTCTGGGTAATGCTATTCATGCATGTAATAGCACATATTATATTAGAACAGGAAATTACTGGCCTGTGTAATAATAGGAACATATTATATCTTTAATGCGCAGTTTCATCTGCACCTCAGATAAGCACTTTGTGATTCTGCTATTTACTTGGACCAGCAGTAGGTGTTGTAGAAGCAATACAGACCTGTGTAATGTTATTTATGGTGTGTTCTACAAAGGCATTTAAGTTAAGTATTGAATTTATTTTAGTAATACTATTGTCAAAAGCAGCCAATAAAGCTTATGGCTCCTGAAAATATATCCGAGACAAGTGTTATGTCCGAAATAGTTGTTTTGTATTGTTGTTATATCTCTGACCTTGGCTTCTATACCATGGAGCTTTTTTTCTCAAATTCAGCAATGCTTTCGTTGGGTGATAAGCAACATTTGGTAACAGTGCGGTCGCTGGAAAATTCTCTCAACTATTGTTTTTTACGGAGTTAAGACCTCCTGGAGAGTGTCCAAATAGTTTTTAACTTTACTAAATTTAATGATTAATGTAATATGGCTTTATTTAATGCTGTAATAATACCAGCTATACTATATTCAATTAGGTGATGGATTTCAATATTTTCTTTATGGTAATATATTTCATTAATTTACACTAACTCGGTAAATTCTCTTCAGCATCAACTGCTTGTTTTGCAGCACCTGTTAATATTTATCGACCATATAAAGGTGTTTGCATATTATTTTAACAACAAACTTAAACACTCCTTGACATTGTTATTAAATTTTCTGTCGAATTTTTCTGGTGTTTCCATTGATTTTACAGCATAATCCTTTGGTTTGAAATTTGGCCCAATTGTGCAGCATTCTTTACCCTTTGATGAGTCATTGGTTACCATCGCAATTGTTGTAGTTACTGGTAATATGTTTAGTATACATATATAGTTAATAGTGGTTTTTATTCATTATCATTTAAATTCCTTATTCAAGTTTATATAGAAACACTATCTTAACACTACATTAACTAAATTTTTGTTGAATGTTGAATAACAACAAAAAGAAACAAAAAATGAAAAAATAATAATGCAGTTTCCAACATTTGTATACTTTTTATTTGTTTTAATTGTTTTTATTCCAAAAATTTAAAAATAAAATTACAAAAAAAGCAATTCTATTGCGGAACACCAAAAATAAAACAAAAAAACTATTCGACATTTATACCATTTACTGCAATTTTGGTAATAATAAATTTTTTTTTTTTATTTAAACAAAATGTAGAGTTTAAATTTACAACAACTAGTCATATTGACTAACAAGAGGTTTTTTTTAATTAATATTACAAGTAAGTTTACATAAGTCTATCTAAGATGAGCATATAGATCTGAGCTAGTCATCTCCTTGCTGGTTGAAACGGCTCAAAAGGTCATTTGGTTTGAAGCGACAAAAGTGTCTGTGAGTGTTATCGCAAAGTAACGCCGGAATGGTGCTGTTTATGTGTTGTCTCAGCCTGTCATAATGTGTTTTAGTAGCCTTCTGTATTTCTTGCTTGACAGTAGGTATTTCAAGGTCACGATGTGTTATGTAGGCCTGGGAGAGAATAAAATATTAATATCACAAGTAAAAAATAGTCAAATAAGCTGACATTACCTCGAACTTCTCGCATTGTCCATGAGAACGGCCAATGTCTCTGTCTGGGTGTTTCTGCCGAGCACGTCACCATTCGTAACATTTTTTTATCTGCATTATAATTGCGTCTTTGACCACCACGACCACCATTGATATATTTACCGGTAGATAATTTCACTCGTGCACGACGACCGCACAGTGTTCTAGTATCCAAACCACTCACATAAACCTTGTGGTCACTGGGATAACTAGACATTTTTTTTTGAACATTCTTCCTTTATGTTGCTAACCACAATTTTAATTCAATATATGCGGTCTATTTATTAAGAATTACACAAATATTATAAACACAATTTTTAACCACTAAACAAATTATTTCAAATCACTGAAACAACTCCATGTGCATTGCTCGCACAGACAAAAATAAAGAAACGTGTAAAAGCTTTTATTTTTGTTTTGTTTTGATCCATATAATTGAGGCGAATTATGTCGAAAGCTCCAATAAAGTTTGACTTAGATATTAAAATATGGTGTTGCCAAGTACAAATAGTACATTTAAGACAAATTTGAACTTTATTGGAAGGAAACAATAAAGTAAGCTTTTTTAAAGGTTATCACCCTCAAATAAATAATTACACACAAAACAAAACCAGCAAAGCCAACTAGAAGAGTGGTGGAAATCTTTCAAGGGCAGTCGACGGTAAACGAAGATCTAACAGAATCCCTAACGTGGCTACAGGATGGTTCTGTTAGTCAAATTGACTATATAAGAGCCAGTGGAGGCTTGATTCGCTCTCTTATGATAGTGATGTTTTCTGAGGAAGTCGAACAGAACAGTTCAGTTTAAAAACCGGCAAAACAAAAATTACTTTTATTAAATTAAAGTTACTAAAAATACATAAAATTGCGAATGTTAAAAGAAAATTACTTTTATTAAATTAAAGCTACTAAAAGTGCATAAAATTGTGAAGGTTAAAAGAAAATTACTTTTATTAAATTAAAGTTACTAAAAATACATAAAATTGCAAATGTTAAAAGAAAATTACTTTTATTAAATTAAAGTTACTAAAAATACATAAAATTGCGAATGTTAAAAGAAAATTACTTTTATTAAATTAAAGCTACTAAAAGTGCATAAAATTGTGAAGGTTAAAAGAAAATTACTTTTATTAAATTAAAGTTACTAAAAATACATAAAATTGCAAATGTTAAAAGAAAATTACTTTTATTAAATTAAAGTTACTAAAAGTGCATAAAATTGTAAATGTTAAAAGAAAATTACTTTTATTAAATTAAAGTTATTAAACGCACATAAAATTGCAAATGTTAAAAGAAAATTAATGAAATTTATTAATTTAATTATAATAAAAAGTGTATAACAATACCCATAACAAGCAATAATTAATTTTATCAATTTAAAATTACTAAACGGTGTATAAAAACCCAAATGATAAACAAAAATTAAATGTTATTAATTTAAAAAGGGCATAAAAGTGCAAATCTTGAATCGAGTTAATGTACATTGTCAGTTCATAAAAGGATTACACATAATTTAAAAATTCAACGGTAAAATAAACTAACGGATGTAACGGAGAACGGAAAAAAAAGAGAACGGACACTGAAGGACAATAACGGCAGCAGGATCCACCGTTATGAGACAACGGTGGTCAGGTATTCCTGAAATTAAGGATACGAATTGATTTAAATTTGAAAAAAAAAAAAAAAAAAGGAAAAAAAAGTTAAAGATTTGATTATATAATTCCAATTATAGTTATTATTGTTAAATTTATTTGAGTAGTGATTATTCAGCATATATTAAATTATAGAAAAAAAAAAAATTATTAACGCATCACAAGAAAAAAAAAAAAAAAAGAACATAAGTTCATTACAACTACCAATATATAAATATTTGTTTCTTGTTTTTAATTTGTTT